TGGTCCAGTCGGAATGAGACGACCCATTCAAGCTGGAGGGAGTTTCAGGATTGTCTGCTAGAGCGTTTCCGAATCAGCAGGGGAGGATACTCTACGAGCAGTTCTTTGCACTAAACAGAGAAGGACAGTAGCAGAGTTCCGGACCGGTTTGAGTACCTAGCTGGCAGGTTGGATCGTCTTTCGGACCGTGCTTGAGGGAACTTCATGAAGGGCTCAAACCAGAAATCAGGCAGCTGTTAGAGTGATGAGACCACACGACCTGGGGAGGCCATGGAGTTGGCACAGTTGGTCGAGGACCAGAAAGCATCTGGGAGGGGGGCTCGAGGCAGCAGCTGTGGGGGATCCTACAGATGATGACCACTTTTTTAGCTCCAAGGAGCTGCACCGGGGTACACGAGCAGTACCAAAGGAGAGGACTGGAGGAAGGAGGCCTGGGGAAATTTAAAAAGCTTACTGATAAGGAGATGCAGGAGAAGAGGGCCAAGGATTGTACTTTAGATGTATGAGAAGTACATGTCGGACATAGTGCAAGGGTCCGACCTCTCAGGTTCTCCCTTTTTGCGAAGACGAGGAAGACGAAGAGGAGTGGGCAGGTGCAAGTGGAGGAAGAGGAGAAGTTGCACCTGGATGTGGCAGAAGTCTCTCTGAAACTCCGTAGATGGATTCACTTCGAGTCACACTATGAAAGTGAAAGGGTGAAAGCTGACCACGAGGTGGTGGTTCTGATAGATAGTGGGGCAACCACACATTTCATTTCCTCCAGCTTGTTGAGTTGCTTGGAATGAAATTAGTAAATACAGGAGGCTATGGGGTGATTGATGGGCACATGGAAGGTTGAAATGGGTAAGACGGAGTTTATAGGGGAGTGGTGTTGACCATTCAGGGATAGAGTGAGGGAGGATCTCTTTCCCTTAGAATTGGGAGTACAATATGTGATTTGGGATGAAAGTGGCTACAAACTTGGGGGAAACCAAGTGTAACTGGGAGAACTGCGGATGGAACTAGTAGTTGTGTGTGTGTGGGGGGCGGTGGGAGAGAGAGAGAGGAATGGTGATACAGGAGGTATCGGCCTGTCTAGGAACGGGGGTGTTCTCTCAAGTCATGATCTAAACCATCCAGGAGTGTTGGTGGTGGATATTATGGTGGAGCTGCCAACGATTTGAGAGAGTCAGTAGTGGAGAGGAGGAGAACAGTCCTCTTATAGTTCAACCAGTCATACAGCAGTTCAGTGAGTTGTTCCAGCCACTCAAGGGTTACACCGTCAGAGACAAGAAGTGCATGCCAATTCGCTAAGGGAAGGGTGTACCGATTTATGTGTACGACCCTACCGCTATCCTCAGATTTCAAAAAGTGAAATTGAAATGGTTGATTAGTGAAATATTTGGAGCAAGAATTCATCCGACCTAGTGTGAGTCCTTTCTCTAGTCCCGTATTACTGGTAAAAAGAAAGATGGAGGCTGGAGATTTTGGTGTGTACTATAGGCTTTGATAAGGAGACTATTCCAGATAAAATTTCCCATTCCTGTGATTGATAACTTTTGATAATGTATGGAGCATGTGATATCTCCAAACTGGATTTGAAGTCATGGGATTACATCAGTATCCGGATAGAGGAGGAATGACATTCTAAAGACGCGTTCAGAACACTGAAAGGCCATTATGGCCGGGAGCTTAGGAGGGAAAATTTGAATGTGAAAGGCTGTTTTAGGAAGTTTATTATTGTCCTTTATGATTAATTTTGTATAATTAGGAGATTGGGGGGGATTAGCTCCTCATCTTGAATTTGAATTCTATTTGAGATTTAGGGTTTGAGTGCTTGGTCTCTTGGCGTTGCCAGAGATCGTTGGAGAGTTGTTCTTCCTCTCGGATTGAAGAACAAATTGTATCTTTGCTGTTTTCTTTGATTTCTAATGAAATTCAAGCGAAATCTTGTGTTTTTCTCCTCGTTTCCCAATTTCCTGCTGTGTTTTCAGTGAATTTCTGCTGTTTTGCTGCTTTGGACAGCTGTTGGCTGCTGTAATTTTACTGGTTTGGGTTTAGGAATACTTGAGAACTCAAGTGTTAAATTCAAGCGAAATCTTGTGTTTTTCTCCTCGTTTCCCAATTTCCTGCTGTGTTTTCAGTGAATTTCTGCTGTTTTGCTGCTTTGGACAGCTGTTGGCTGCTGTAATTTTACTGGTTTGGGTTTAGGAATACTTGAGAACTCAAGTGTTTCCTATCACTTTCTTATTGTTTTCTAAAGAAGGTTTTTATATAATTTTTTTTTTTTAAGAAAGTAGTTAGAAAGTTGTCCCAAATGAAACGTCAATGTTCATCTAAGACTTCTTTTGTCACGACTTTTTTATTGGTTTTTAAAACAGCTTATAGGCCTTCCTTCATTAGGCAATAAAACAACCCTAACGGTGATGGTTAATCTTTTTTCTAAATACACAGACAAAAATAATTAAAACTAATAGTCAGCTAATCTCTGTGGCTTCTACTGCTACAACTAAGGCAGTTAAAAAAATGTTTGTTGTTTTATGTTCAACTGTTTCAACTCGATATTTTATTACTTTTTATAAGCCCTTTTTGTAAAACAGAGTAAATAGAAAATTTAATTTCCATTCGAATTTTATTTTTTATTACCTCTCGTTTTCATGGTAGAGTCAAACAGTAAGTCAGAAATCTATCTCAAAATATCTGAAAATCAATCTCTTTCACAAATCTGGAGACTTAAATTCTTACAATCCAATATCCAATACCAAAATGTTGAAATCCTCATAAATCAACTCTTAGGCTTTTATTGGAACAATTTTCTTATTACTTTCTAAAATAAATTTTTAGTACAAAAAATTTAAAAAAAAATATTTGTTAGGACAACTTTCTCCTTGAAATCAAACTATCCAAATTGGGTGACGGGTCGGATTCAGGTCCAAATCGGAACTAACCCAATACAAGTTTACTCGACTTGAACCTGTCCCTATTTTTATCAAACAGATCATTTTTTTGGACTCAAACCCAACCCGCTTCGGACCCGAGTCAACCCGACAAGACCCGCCGCCAACTTAGGTCACGAGCTTGTATTCAACCTCTGTCGATAGTGGGCTGGAGTTGATGGCGGTGTAGACCGCAGAGGCGGCATATGGCAAAGGCTGGAGTGGATGGCTGATGGCAGCACACAAGTTGACACGGCAACCTCCGGCGGAGGACCGCATGCAAGTTGACATAGGTGCGAGGGCCGAGCTGTGGCGACGCAGACGGCTGACGCGAGTTATGCATAATTTTTTTTGGGAAAATTGCATAAATATTTTTCATTAGTATCTTTTGATGTAAATTTGTCGAAATATAATTCACAAATTTTTAATGAAAAATACCACTGAAAATGCTTAACATTCACTTTGTTGGATTTGCATAACTATATTAATGTTCGAAATATATAGCTAAGTTTGCCCCTCAATCCTAATATTCTTCTTATAAAATTGATGCAATTATGAATGGTAGAATATAACAATTTTCTTACGACGGTCATAGAGATGATGTTGCTCCCCTCCTTCAATCTTGATCAACTTCTTTCATAAATGATATAATTGTACATGACACACGAATTACCTTACTAAAGTCATGCTAAAACTGTAGAAATAAACAATCATTTGAGATTACAGTAAGAATTTTTGCACATTTAAGAATCATATTTCTCGGTGCTAAATTGTTGCATATTGAAATATTATAATTAAAGATTTGTAGAATTATTTTGTGCTGATCCTGATCGCAACTCTCATCTGGATATCAATCAGAATGAGCCACGTCAATAATACAAAGCCTCAAACTTAAATATTTGAACGGTTTCACTTTCACACAGAATAATTTTTCTTTTCCACACACATATTAAAAGATATATATATATATATATAGCAGAAGGACAATTTAAGTAGTTTAAAGAGAGAATGGCGCTGATGGCGGAGTTGGAACATCAATGTCGCCTTCCAGCATCATCACCACATCCTCCATGACAGGCCGCGCATTGGGATCCTCTTGAACACACAACAATCCTATCTTCACAAGCTTCTCAAGCTCGGGTGCTGCCACTTCGTCTCCGTCCACCAGCTTCCACAGCTCGTTGGCCGCATAGCTCTCCCGCACCATCTCACAAAGAGACAGCTTCCGCAACTCTTTGACTTCCATGTTCCTCTTGCTGCAAATCGTCTCCAAAACCACTATTCCGTAGCTATAAACGTCCGCCTTCTCCGACACCTGGGCTTCTTCCGACCCAGCAACCTCCCGCTCACACTCCGGCGCCACATAGCCCTCTGTACCGGCTGCTAATGTCCGCGTGGCCGCCCTCATCTGGTTCTTATTCAACAGCTTGGCAAGCCCGAAATCCGCGATCTTGGCTGTCCAGTCCTCGGCGATCAGAATGTTCTCTGGTTTTATATCGCGGTGAATAATCTTGGTTTCGCACTCGCAGTGCAGATAGTGTATTCCACGCGCCGCAGCTAGCAAGATGGCCGCCCGCCGCTCCCAGCTCGGTCGCCGTCCCCTGCTCTCAAAGATATGGTTGGCAAGAGAGCCCCTTAACATCAATTCGTAGATTATGACGCGGCTAGGGCCGTCATGGCAGAATCCGAGTAGGCGAACGATGTTAGCATGGTAAGCTCTTCCGATGAGCCTCATTTCCGCTTGGAACTCTCTTTCTCCTTCCATCTCCGCCCCGTGGAGCTTCTTCACGGCGACGGCAACAGTGCTGTCGCCGATGGGCAAGTCAGCTCTGAAGACTGTCCCGTAACCACCTTTCCCCAATACATGCTTAAATTCATTAGACCCTTTTCGAAGCTCTTCATAAGAGAAGTATCGGGGTGCTATCTCCTCAGTCAATGCCAGCTCCCACTTGCGCCACTCTTCACGAAACTTCCGGAACAGAAACCAGTACGCACCGATGAATGCGGCTATTACAACTATCCAAATAGAGATAGTTGCTGCCGCAGACAAAATAATAGCTACGATGCATACCTCTCGTCTTGTTTGCGGTTCTGCTGGATCCGATTGGGCGCCGGCTAACTTCATGAAGGTGACGCTGGGATGGTTATCGTCTTTCCTTCCGCTTGTCAGCGGAAGCTTAAGCTTCAAGCACTTCTGATCAATGAACGAGGCAGCGTAGCAGTTGCAGTCGTTGAGGCAGGCGTTGCTACACTCCTCCCGGCTCGCCAGTGAGAGTTCGCCGTAAGCCAAATTTTCCATTCCCGCTATGTTATTCAGCTCCTCCATGTGGAAGACGGCGGCGGCCGAGCTCGTAAGGTTGACGCAGCTTGGAACCGTTTTGATCCTCCGGCAGTCGGTGACTTGTGAGTCCCGGCTCATGATCTCGAACCCGGGCACACATTTGCATTCTGCGTTGCCATAGACGAGCATGCAATAGCTGTTGACGCCGCAGATACCTTTGTTCTGGCAACTGTCCCTAATATTAGGAATCTCATTAACCATTTTGGTCGATTTGTCCGGGAGGTTGTGAGCGTAGAGCCGGAAAATGTTGTCCGAGTCGAGGGTCGCGCGGTATATCATGACATGGGAAGTATCTTTATTAGGTTTATAGTCAGAGATGTCCTTCTCATTTCCACCGGAAGAGGTGAGGTAGAGGCGGCCGTCATCACCAAGGTTTAGATAGTTGTAATCGCCGCCGGAGGCCCCGGTATCCCAAACATCGCGTGAAGACTTCAATCCGTAGAAGATTAAGCTGGCGCCGCCGCATGGAAAGTTTAGGATGTACTTTCCGATGGAGTGGTCCTTCTCGCCGGCGGAGGAGGTGAGGTTAGAGCCGCAGGGCAAGTATTGGTCCCCAAGAATCGTATCGCTGGGGAAATCAAAGCTTCGCCAAATAATACTGTCTGAAGACGTACTCGCCCTGCACCTCGTATATGCGCTGCAGGAGCGGATGGACTTGTAGGTTCCACCAACAGTCGAGCTACACCTCGAAGATGAGCTGCAAGAGCTGCCATAGGCTACCCCAGGCTTGGCAGCCGCAGTGACGCCGGTGGCTAAGACGACTTCAGACGTACTAGAGATATTGGAGATGTCGGAGCCGAAGACGACAAAGTTACCGTTATCGAGCATGTTGGCAGACGTGGCATTCGAGGAGAACTTGAAGAGAGGAATAGCCACCGCTTCTTTCTCCGGGGTGACTAAAAGCCCCTCTTCGGTGAAGTTTAGGAAGGCGTCTTTCGAAAAGCGCTTCAAATCAGGCCTCGCAGTCCACACGACCACGGTTTCTGTGGGCGAGACGATGAGCTGTATGCCGACGAAGAAACCGTCGCTCTCGCCGTAGAATCCGAAGGCAAAGTGGCCGGAGGAGGAGATCCAAGAGGTGTTATCGTTTGTGGTGACTGAAGAGCCGACGTTGATATTTGGCGCTACTGTATTGTTGGTTAAAGCAGAGTATGTTATATTCTTGCTCGCCTGTGCTTGGACTTCATCAACTATGGCTTTCATCCAGAAAGCGCAAAAGAAGAAGAGCAGCAGAAGGCGATTTGCTAGCAACATATCGGCGGCGCAGCTTCAGATGGAATTGGACGGAGCACAGAGAGAGAAACCTCCTTATTTTAGAGGGGAAAATGGGCAAAGAACGCTGATGGGAAAGTTGAGGAACAGCTTCCTTCTAAAAGCAATGTTGATAAGGTTCCACTTTTAGCTGTTTCAAAAAATAATGTCCGTTTGATTGAAAAAAACCCCTAAACTTTTTACATCATTTTTTCTCAACAAACTGTGTTTGTTAGAAGTATTTAAAATAAAATATATATTGATACGTCATTAAAAAATTATTTTGATCGGGCACGAATCTCGATGTAAAATTAAGTTGGAAACTTCTGAAATTAAAATTGGGATAATCCCAACTCCGATTTAAGCAAATTTATAGACAAACTAAACGTCTCGGAAATAGGAACACAATGATTTAAGCAAACTTCCCAGTCAAATCTCTATAGCAACATATTCGCCTGACCTCGTTGTTCCGTCGGACCACCACTTGAGGCCTACACCTCCGCCGGACCACCTCCCGACATCGTTGTTCCGCCGGACCACCACTTATGGCCCTCACCTCTGTCGGGGACCACCACCTGACGTCGTTGCTCCGCCAGACCACCACTTGAGGCCCTTATCTCCGCCGGCCACCACCTGGGGCCTGAACTTCTGTCGAACCTCCACCTGAGGCCCGGATTCTGTCGGATCACCACTTGAGGCCTGAACTTCCATTGGACCACCGCTTGACGCCCTGTGCTCCACCAAGCCACCACGTGAGGCCCGGACTTCCGCTGGACCACCGCCTGACGTCGTTGCTCCATCGGACTACCACTTGAGGCTCTAACCTCCACCAGATCACCACTTTAGGCTCATACTTCTGTCGGACCACCATCTATGACTCGGACTTCTGATGGATCACCACTTGAGGCCCGAACTTCTGCTGGACCACCACCTGAGGCATGAACTTCTACCGGACCACAACTTCAGGCCCTATGCTCCACCAGGCCACCACATGAGGCCCGGACTTCCACCAGACCATCATTTTAGGCCCTGAGCTCCACCAGGCCACCACCGAACGCCTGGACTTTTTCCGGGCAACCACTTGATGCTCAGAGTTCTCCCAGAGTACTGCCCTTTTTACTACGGCCTTTCGGACCCCTGTCTCATGCCGACTATGGTCCTTCCTACCTCCATCACCAAACAACGGACCCCGGTCTCCTGCTAACTATAATCTTTCCGACCTCTATCCCATCGGCTATGGTCATGTCGACCAAACAAATATATATATGTAACTCCCACCATGTAATGTGCTATATATGATGTACATTTGTACCATCAAGCCATAGCCTTCTCTCAAGGAAGGGCCTCATTTGTAATCGACTGCAAATATTAATGGATTCATTCGAACTGGGCCAAGCCCCGTGGTTCTTCCCCCTTTTTAGGGGTTTCCACGTAAAAACACTGGTGTCTCTTATGAATGTTACACAATCTCTCTTATCTACTTATGTGCTGGATCTTCGTACAACGCTAAGATGCTAAACTTTATAATTCTCTACTGTCGCAATTACTCCATGATGCAACATATATATAATGCTTTTTAAATAAAACAATTTATTGGATTAATATATATATATATATATATATATATATATATATATATATCAAATTTGAAGAAATATATAATTTTATTTGTTATTATATTTTATTTGTTATGATGAATTTTAAAAGCATAAATATTTCATTTTTTTTTCATAGAGCCAATGGTTAGTGTAGGAGCTCAACTCAATAACAGGATCGACGAGTTCACCTTATTGAGCTCGTGAGTCGAGCTCGAACACAATTTCGAGATCTACCACTAAACAAGCTCGAGTTCGAACACCCCGCTATTCGACATACGAGCAAGTCGAGAACCTCACATAATTGTAGCGGGAAAATTGATACGGCAAGTTCTTCTACTGGCCGAAAAATGAAAACAAGGGGTAGACGAACACAGACGACTACGGCGGAGAACTTTAGTTTTCACGTAACTACGTCATATTGTTTGGGAAGGCGGGACGAGAAGAGGACCCACTAGAGCATATCTATCGGAGATTTGTCGGCGATTTAGACGCTGCCGCAGACAACGCAGGAGCAGATGATGTAGGCGGCGTAAGCGGATGCTACCGGACGACGTAAGCGACACTAACACAGATGATAACCCGCTGACTAATGCGAACATCAACGCAGATGCGGGGCAAGTTAAAAGGCTCAAACTACGGCTCGACGAGCTCATGTTCCCTTGCCGAGTCGAGCTCAATTTTTTGCAGTCGAGCTCGGCTTGAACACCCCAAACTCCAGCTCGATTAGACTCTTTTGCACTCCTATGTCAGAGTTGGAGAGATGATGAAATTTATCATTAATGACTTTTTAATTTTTCTTAAATTTCTAAAATAATATTATTCAATTTTACTTAACATTCAACAAATAATTAAAATTTAAATCAAAGTTATGATAATAAAAATAGAATATATAAAACAGATCTGTGCCTACAAAATAAAGTTGATATTATTGGTTTATGAAAAGAACAAAGTTGATAACTTTGCTTTTCATAAAGAAAGATTCTTCTACCTACCGTAAGGCTATATATATATATAATTATGCTAATAATTCATAACAATGAGGGGGAAGTCAGTCAACTATCTGTCTAATGGAATTGAATTTATTCAGCAATTAGGGGAATAAAAATTATATTTTTAATATATAAGAAAAATATGGAAGTATATCAAAATAATTTCAAAGGGTTAAAAAATACTATATAATGCTTTTTTTTGCCATAATCTTTTAAGTATTTTTCATAACTATTACATGCAAGATAAAATCAGTCAATGATAGCAATGTGTATTTCACTCAAATTACATAGAAAATCATTTGAAAATTTGATCAACTTATGACTCAGGTCAAAGCCAAAAAATCTAAGGATCTATTTGGGACAGTTTTCTCGTTATTTTGTATATTATACAACAACTACAAATTATTTTTTATACAACTTTCTTACTACTTGATCGCTTCTTTTCAGATATGGTGCAAAGTTGTTTTTCACAACTAGAGGTTGTTTTCCCTTCAAAAATAGTTATGCTACAGTCATCCCAAACAGACTTTTAGTTTAGTTTGATTTGATTCATGCTTAGCAAAGTAAGTGAATTAAGTCATGTTCGAATCAACTCGATCGCCATTCTTTGCTACATTAAAGAGGATGTTTTTTTTCTTCATTAAGATTTCATTTGGGTTGGATTTTTTATTGCTTCTTGAATCAGTTTTTTACTATAAAAATTAAAACTTTTGTATAAAAAACTGCTTTTGATGACATGCAATTAGTTCATGAACTAATTAGAATGATTAGTCGAATAGAAGCCTTCCCTAATAGAGCTTTTGCTAAAGCTAGTAAATATAGGTTTCATTTGAGATGGTTTTTTTGTTGCTACTTAAAGGAAAAATTTAGTACGAAAAGGTAAATTTTTGTAAGAAAAAATTTCTTTGAGAAGTAGAAAACCGTCCCAAACGAAACCATAGAAATATTTGCATATGATAAATTTATTTTCTTTTCGCTCTCTAATTATGAAGAAACCAGTTGTTGGGCATATGAAGAACATCCAGTTCGAAATAAAAGAGAAGGTATTCTTAAAGCTCCGACCATACCAGTAGAAGATAGTTGCCAACAGGAGAAACGAAAAGCTCGCTCCAAGATACTTTGGACCATATGAAATATTGGAAAAAATCGGAGCAGTAGCATATCGGCTGAAACTACCACCCACGGCAACTATTCATTCGATTTTCCATGTGTTGCAGGCTTGCAGCTGAGAAGAGCAATTGGAGATTACACAGCCAGTTCAGAGTTACCGGCCACGCTTACTGAGGATTTAGAGGTGATTATGGAACCCTTAGAGTTGATGGGGGTTCGCCAGAAAGAAAATGGATCGAAAGAAGTGCTAATCAAGTGGAAGAATCTGCTTGACTACAATGCCACGTGGGAGCCATACGAGAGGGCGAAACAGCATTTTTTTTGATTTTCACCTTGAGGACAAGGTGATTATTTGGGAGGGTGGTATTGATGTGCAGATTCATTGAGATCCGGCCCAGAGGCCGGCTCATTACTACATGAGGCGGAACAAGGGGTTCCGCCCCCTTTGATTGTCGCCCACGTGTGGGACCCTCTTGGAGCTTTTGAGGAAGTTGGATTGGTTGGCTAGGGAGAGAGGGAATTTTTGAAAGGGTGAGATTTTAATTAGATTTGAATTAGAAAACTAATTGTATTAAGAAGGGGGATTTGTCTAGGGTTAATTTTCATACTTTGTGTTGTTCTTCTCTTGGAGTTTCTTTGGCGTCTTGGGCTCTATGCATCTTGTTTAGAAATTGGGAGAGAACGATCCTCCTCTCAAATTGAGCATCAATTGTATCTTGCTTGGCATTTGTTTTGGTTTTCTTCTCTTCTCGCAATACATCGTTTGGGGCTATTTTCACCCAAATTTTGCAACTATCTCGATGTTTTCAACAATTAGAGATAAGTTTGCTTGCGAACTCAAGTATTTCCCTTAAGGTTACTTGCAAACTCAAGTACTTCCTATCAGCCTTGCTCTCCATACGGCCCCACGCTGCCCGATGATATTCATCCGCAAAATAAATGCCTCCTTCGACAGTCGTCGGTGAGCTAACGAGTGCATAGCCACATTCGATAACCAATGTTTCCTTTGACGACGTTCCTTCCAACGCTACAACATGGGGTTGGCGGGTCGGATTCGAGCCCGAGAAAATGACTCGTTTTCAAAAATGGTTTGGGTTCGGATCTAGTCAATATGTGTCAGATCAGTTCTGGGTTTGACATGAACCTGACCCGTGGCCCAATTTTGACAACCCTAATTCAATCTTCGATCTTCTTCGCATACATCATCGATTTTATTTGGTCTATATTCTTGAAAAAGTAAAAAATAAATTGTATACCTACAACAATACATACAACTTATGGTATATGAAATTTTGATTACTTGTTTTATTATAACTTCAAAAGAATATTAACATGTTTGTTCATGTCTTTATTGCAGTATTGATGATAGTAATTCATAAACATAATTCTCAATATTAATTTTTTTAACTAAAAAATTACTCTAAAAAACACTAAAAAATAGTATCAATGGAAACCTTAATTGATAGATATCTTAAAATTTATTCACAAGATTCTAAATAAAGCTTACATATTCTAAATAAATTTTATAATTAGACACTCGTCGTTCCAAAATCCACACACACAGAAATATATATATATATAGGCACAAATAAAATCAACTGCAGGACAATTTAAGGAGTGGATGGAGTTGGAACATCAATGTCGCCCTCCAGCATCATCACCACATCCTCCATGACAGGCCGCGCGTCGGGATCCTCCTGAACGCACAATAATCCAATCTTCACAAGCTTCTCAAGCTCAGGTGCTGCCACTTCGTCTCCGTCCACCAGCTTCCACAGCTCGTTGGCCGCATAGCTCTCCCACACCATCTCACAAAGAGACAGCTTCCGCAACTCCTTGACTTCCCTGTTCCTCTTGCTGCAAATCGTCTCCAAAACCACTATTCCGTAGCTATAAACATCCGCCTTCTCCGACACTTGGGCTTCTTCCGACCGGCCATCAACATCCCGCTCACACTCCGGCGCCACATAGCCCTCTGTACCGGCTGCCAATGTCCGCGTGGCTGCCCTCGTCTGGTTCCTATTCAACAACTTGGCAAGCCCGAAATCCGCGATCTTGGCTGTCCAGTCCTCGGCGATCAGAATGTTCTCTGGTTTTATATCGCGGTGAATAATCTTGGTTTCGCACTCGCAGTGCAGATAGTGTATTCCACGCGCCGCAGCTAGCAAGATGGCCGCCCGTCGCTCCCAGCTCGGTCGCCGTCCCCTGCTCTCAAAGATATGCTTGGCAAGAGAGCACCTTGACATCAATTCGTAGACTATGAGCCGGCTAGGCCCATCGTGGCAGAATCCGAGCAGGCGAACGATGTTCGCGTGGTAAGCTCTTCCAATGAGCCTCATTTCCGCTTGGAACTCTCTTTCTCCTTCCATCTCCGCCCCGTGCAGCCTCTTCACGGCGACGGGAACAGTGTTGTCGCCGATCGGCAACTCAGCTCTGAATACTGTCCCGTAACCACCTTTCCCCAATACCTGGTTGAATTCATTAGACCCTTTTCGAAGCTCTTCATAAGAGAAGTATCGAGGAGCAATCTCCTCAGTCAATGCCAGCTCCCATTTCCGCCACTCTTCACGAAACTTCCGGAACAGAAACCAGTATGCACCGATGAATGCAGCTATTACAACTATCCAAATAGAGATGGTTGTAGCCACAGACAAAATAATAGCAACGATGCAGACCTCTCGTCTTGTTTGCGGTTCTGCCGGAACAGATTCGGCGCCGGCTAACTTCATAAAGGTGACACTGGGATGGTTATCGTCTTTTCTTCCGCTTGTCAGCGGAAGCTTAAGCTTCAAGCACTTCTGATCAATGAAGGAGGCAGCGTAGCAATTGCAGTCATTGAGGCAGGCGTTGCTACACACCTCCTTGCTCGCCGATGAGAGCTCTTCGTAAGCCAAATTTTCCATTCCCGCTATGTTTTGCAACTCCTCCATGTGGAAGACGCCGGTGGTGGCGTTAGTAAGGTTGAAGCAGCTTGGAATCGTTTTGATCCTCCGGCAGTCGGTAACTTTTGATAAGTCCCTGCTCATGTTTTCGAACCCAGGCATACATTTACATTCTGCGTTGCCGTAGACGAGCATGCAGTAGCTGTTGACGCCGCAGATACCTTTGGTTTGGCAATTGTCCTTGATATTAGGAATCTCATTAACCATTTTGGTCGATTTGTCCTGGAGATTATGAGCATAGAGCCGGAAAATGTTGTCCCCGTCGAATGTTGCTCGGTATATCATGACATTGGAAGTATCTTTGTTAGGTTTATAGTCAGAGATGTCCTTCTCATTTCCGCCGGAAGAGGTGAAGTAGAGGCGACCATCATCACCCAAGTTTAGATATTTGTAATCATCGCCGTCGGAGGCCCCGGTGTCCCATTCTTTGCGTGAAGAGTTCAATCCGTAGAAAAATAGGCTGGCGCCGCCGCATGGAAAGTTTAGGATGTACTTTCCGATGGAGTGGTCCTTCTCGCCGGCAGAGGAGGTGAGGTTAGAGCCGCAGGGCAAGTATTGGTCCCCAAGAATCGTATCGCTGGGGAAATCAAAGCTTCGCCAAATAATAATGTTTGAAGATGTACTCGGCCTGCACCCGTAATCTCCTTTGCAGGAGCGGATAGGCTTGTAGGTTCCACCGGGAGCCGACCTACACATCGTAGATCCGCCGCAAGAACTTTCATAAGGCACCCCACGCTTGGAAGTCACGACAAAGTTACCGTTATCGAGCATGTTGGCAGACGTGGCATTCAAGGAGAACTTGAAGAGAGGAATAGCCACCGCTTCTTTCTCCGGGGTGACGAAAAGCCCCTCTTCGGTGAAGTTTAGGAAGGCGTCTTTCGAAAAGCGCTTCAAATCAGGCCTCGCAGTCCACACCACCACGGTTTCTGTGGACGAGACGACAAGCCGAATCCCGACGAAGAAACCGTCGCTCTCGCCGTAGAATCCGAAGGCAAAGTTGCCGGAGGAGGAGATCCAAGAGGAGTTATCGTCTGTGGTGACTGAAGAGCCGACGGTGATAGCTGGCTCTACTGGTTTGTTGGGATCTAAAGCAGGGTATGTTATACTCTTGCTCGCTTGTGCTTGGACTTCATCAACTATTGTTTTCATACAGAAAGCGCGAAAGAAGAAGAGCAGCAGAAGGCGATTTGTTAGCAACATATCTGCGGCGCAGCTTCAGATGGTGTTGGACGGAGCACAGCGAGAGAAACCTCCCTTCTTCGTTTAGAGGGAAAATGGGCAAACAATGCTGATGGGAAAGTTGAGGAACAGCTTCCTTCTAAAAGCAAAAGCTGATAAGGTTCCACTTTTAGCTGTTTCAAAAAACAATGTCCGTTTGATTGAGAAAAAAACCCTAAACTTTTTACATCATTTTTTTTTTCAACAAACTGTTTTGACAGGTTTTTGTTAGAAATATTTAAATTATAAACCCTAAAAATAGAAAATATATATAGATTTATCGTTGATGACTTTTTAATTTATCTTAAATATCTAAAATAATATTATTCAATTTTATTTTACATTCAACAAATAATTAAAATTTAAATCAAACAGCGCCTGAAAATACAAAGTAAAAATTAGAGTAAGCTGTTTTCTTATTTAAAAAAAATTATGATAATAAAAATAGAATATATAAAATAGATCTCTACCTACAAAATAAAGTTGATATTATTGATTTATGAAAAGAACGAAGCTGATAACTTTACTTTGCTTTTCATAAAGAAAGATTCTTCTACCTACCGTAAGGCTATATATATAAATAATTATGCTAATAATTCATAGCAATGAGGGAGAAGTCAGTCAACTATCTATCTGTTAGTACATCTGGACTGCAAGCTACACAAGTCCATTTAGTCTCAAACAATCCTCATGACAATGGTTTAACAAACTAATAATTTTCTTACAAAATTTTGGTTTTAATTTCAGCAATCTTTGCTTATAACTTCAAAAAGATTAAATATCTTTTACAACAGCTAAACTCTCATTTCAGACTTAAAATAGCTCGGCGACATCTCTCTTTTTAAAAACTTCAACGGGTTACTTCTTGCATCAAAACCACTATGCTCGGAACCTTTTGCAAATGGCCGAATTCACAAAATGCAAAAAGGGTCGGGGGTTCGATTTCAACAAACAAACTCTTTTTTAAAAATTAGGTCGGGCTCGGGTTGACCCAAAAACTTAAGAATGATCCAGAACCGACCCAACCAACGTCGTTGTAAATGAAATCGGATTAAGGAAAACTCACCGGTCGCATTGTCGTAGGCTAGCTCCGTGCGGACCTGTCGTCGCCGTTCACCTTTAATTCCTGCAGCCTCACCGTCCACCTCTCCGCACGGCCCTGCCTCTCTGTATGGCCCCACCCTGCCCGATGAAGTTCGTCCAAAAAATCAGCGCCTCCTTTGACGGCGGTCGGTGAGCTCCCGAATGCAGAGCCACCATCGGTAACCAACGCCTGCTTCGACGACGTTAGATGAGAAATTGAAAGAAGATTATAGTGAAGATTTGGAATGTGTAAGAGGTTCTTGAGATGTAGCTTACGAGGCGGTGTTGGCAAGATGCCTTCACCGGAATTTGCAATTGGAACCGATCTTCAGTAGCCCACTGTAACCGTGTCCATGCCTTGATATGATTTGCGATGGATAGTTGATCAAGAGTAATTTTCATGTGAGACGACGCCCCTGAGTCCAAATATCATTCCGTGGCAAGCTGATCTACAGTGACAGTAAGTGCACGATTGGGGTTTGGACGATTTTGAGGAAAGTATTGCAGATTTTTCCTGTGCCAACAGTCCGAGGCCAAATGACCTTTCTTTGCGCAAATTTGACAGATTAAAGTAGTAGAGGAGGAGTATCTTGAAGAATTTGAAATGGTTGGTGATGCTCGGCCACGATTCTTGCGGCCCCTTCCTCTTGAAGAATATAATGTAAGATTTGGGTTTGGGCCATTTGTGTTGCGTGAGGCATCCATCGCAATGTTGATTTCTTCGTTGAGAAGAAGGGCATACATGTTGTTTAAACTTATGGGATTAAGCATGGTCCGTATGGAAGTTTTGAAAGATTTGTAGGACATAGGTAAGCCATTCAAGATGTAAAGAATTATGTCATCGGTGTCTACCCCCTAACCGACAGCGGCGATTTGATCGACTATGGTTTTAATTTCAGTCAGGTATTGGGTCATGGTGGAGTTGCACATGGATATGTTGTTAAGCTCATTTTTTAGCTGAATGACTCGATCGAGACCGGTTTGTGGATTGAAACCGAGTTTCAAGTGCATTCCAAATGTCTTTGGTGGATTCAAGATGGAGAATATAAGGGAGAACATATGGTGAAATGGTAGAATAGATGGTTGCGGCCAAATTTTGGTCGGTGAGTAGCCATTGGTGGTAAGCACTGTTAGAGATCGTAGAGCCATCGTTCTGCAGAAGAGAACTAGGTGGAGGGTTGGAGATAAATTCAAAAAAAAAAAATTCAAAACCATTAGCTCGAAACAGCATGATGATTTGGAATTTCCAAATGGAATGATTATCTGTGGAGAGATTAGTGGGTACCAGATTTTTGAGATTTGAAGCAAGAAATTTGAAGGATGACGAAATGCAGACTTCTTCGGATGCGACACGATCGGACTGGGCTTCGACTTGCGATGCTTCCGACACTGCCATGACGATGAGAGAAGAAGAGAGGATCAGTCCCGCTTTGATACCACGAAGAACTGCAGTACAAGAAGCAGATGTAGAACAGTCTTGCTGTTCTTGAACGAATGGAGAAGAAGAAGGAACGGTGAAATGAACTGTATATCTTATTATGCAATCCTTGGAGTACATAAGTATATATATAAAACACAACAGGGAAGTACACATGTAATAAGATGAAACGATAACAAGAACATGCCTGATGGGCTACACGGAGTAATAAATAAAGGCTAATATTGTTTGTGCTCTAATACATTGGAAGTACATAAAAATCATTTCAAAGAGGTGCAACGCTAGGACGTGAATTTACAAACTCTACCGCCGCGTATATTCTTGCACGCAACAATTTTTAACTGTATTTTATGTTAATCGGGCGACTTGACGAGCTTATAAGTTGAGCAAGGTAGTGCTCGAGTTCGTATAATATATGAGTTCGAGCATAAGCTGAAGCTTCAACTTATCAATAAGCTCATTTTTTTTTTAGCTTGTTATTGAGTTGAGTTCAAACTTGCTCATGAATCAGCTCACCTTACACCTCTAGCAAGAATAAATGCATAAAATAGAAAATTATTTTATAAAAAAAATATAAATATTCATGTAATAAATACTATAAAATTTGTAGTAGTATAAAATAACATTAAAATTCAACTTTTTTGCTCTATGATAAAACAATATGATCTAATATTTTAAATCAATTTTATAAAAAATTACAATCATCTCAAACAAGCTTTTAGTTTAGTTTGCTTTGAGTCATGCTTAGCAAAATAAATGAATTAATGACAAGTTGGAATCAACTCCATCGCCATTCCTTCCTTGCTACATTAAAGAGACTGTTTTTTCCTCATCAAATCAACTTATCTCTACTATCATGATAATAATTTTGAAACAATTATACTTTCAAGTTGTCCAAATCATAGAGAAGTTTGGCCGTCAAATGTGATAAGAGGAACATTTCTCCATCATAATGTTTATAGCGATATAGATTACTATATCATTTTAAAAACTCTCCTAAAGAAGAGATTATTCTGTGCAGACTACGAAGACTACGAACGCAATTTATTGTCCAGAAATCAGTTAAAATGTGTCACGTCAGCAGTATTGAGCTTGGTACCGAGTAGAGGTACAGAACAAGGGTGACTTGACGCATTCTGATTGGTATGTGGATGACGTTCAGGGTCCGCATAGAATAATTTGCCCTCCTAAAGAGGCTGATTAAGGAGGGTCATCTCAAATAATTTCTCATTAATCATTTTGATGATATGTAATTAGTTCATAAACTAATTAGAATGATTAGTCGAATAGTGGTCCTCTTTAATAGAGCTTATGCTAAATTATTATCATGTGCTCAAAATCAGTCTAATAACTTATAATATTTTCAACAAGAAAAATAAACACATGCTTAAAAAAATAGAAAATTAAAATAAGTAGACAAACTCATCTTCAATTATCTTTTATCAGGACGATTTTTTGTAATTAAAAATCTACACATATTTACAAAATAAAATAAAATTCAAATTTAATTTTATATTTATTTTTTATTACCAAATTCTACAAGGAAAAAAAATAGGGTCAAAATATTCTGATTAGAATTTAATCATATGGTTAAAATTATTTTAAGATGATTTTAAAATAAATTTTTATTAATTGTTTATTTTGTTATCTTAACATAAATATTGTTTAATAAATCCTGACCCAAATATTTTCCTTCTAAAACGGCATAATGTGTGTGGTCTTGGTATCGTAGCCCGCGAGACATCCTTTCGTATTCACCCGGAAAATCTTCAACAGATCGCCGGACATTTGCCGCACAGCCGGCGAGCAATTACTCTGCATCAACAGCAATATCTTCATAACGCCGCCGTTCTCCGCCTTCACCGCTTCCACCGCCCGCTGATCCCGAAATCGGTAACAAACGCTCCACAATACCACCACTGCCGCCTCCATCCCTTCCTTCCCCACCTTCATCATCCACCGAAGCACAGCGCCCAAACACTCCTCCGCCGCCTTGCAGATTTCCGATCTCCCCTCCGCAATCCCGGACGCCGCCTCTAGAAGCCTGATAGCCTTCTCCGTCGTCGACGCCGGCGCCATCACCGCCTCAGCTTTCATCACCTTCACCACCGCCGGAACGATCCCTTCCTTCACCATTCGAAACTTCGCTCCTCGAACTCCGCAAATCGCCGTCAAGCAGTCAATCCCGGCATCGATCGAATCTCGATGCATCTTCTCTTGTCTAATTAGCCGAATCAGTTCCGGTATTAGATCAGACTTCTCGGCAATCGAAACCTTGGAATTGGAATCTGATGACAATAGGATCGCACACAAAATCCTAGCTGCATCCGCACTAGATTCCACCGTTTTTCCATCTTTCAAGATGGAGAGCAGGGCGGAAACCGATGCGCTTAGATGAGAGATTAGATAAGATATCGCGACCTTCTTATTGTTCTCCTCGATGCAATCGGTGGCTAGGATTACGGCGAGGGCCTTAGCGGCGGCACGCAGGGTCTCAATCTGGCCAGCATTCTGTATCAGTACAGAGGAAACGGCTGCGGCGGCGCAGCCGACGATGGCGTTCTTCTCAAAAACATCGTTATCGGCGTCGAGAAAGAAGTCGGCGAGGCGGCGGAGGAGAGGGGAGGGGTCGGAGGAGGAGCGGATGTCACGTACGATATTAACCGCGACATGTCTATGGTTGTTGAGAGCAGAATTGGCGACGGAGTCGGCAGTGGCAGACCAGAGCTGGATAAGGCGGCGAAGGGTGAGATTCGGTATAAGGTCGGTGGAAGGAAGAGGTTGATTGGTGGCGGGGCAGGTTTTCTTGCCGGATTCAAGCCAACGCTGGATGGAGGAGCGGTCGTAGGTAACGCCGGTGCAGAGACTTACCGGCGATCTCATCACGTCGAGGGAGATCGGGCACCGGAAAAAGCTGGGAACTTTGACCTCCAGATTAAGTGACTGAACTCTTTCCTCCTTGTTCTCCATCTATTTCTTCTTCCTCTGTTCTCTTCTTCTCGGATCATGGAGGCTTTCGCGCAGGGGAAGGTGGGTTTAAGTGGAACGAGCGGTCAAAGGAGCCGTGTGAAGACGATGGAAAAAATAAAAGGAGAAGTGCTTCGTTTTCTTCGCTGAAATTAATATTATATGAGTCTAAGTCAAAGTTCTGTAATAATTTTCCGTTATTCTCGTTTAACAATGTCAATCTCGTGTAATGGTGGATTAAAAAAATAAAAGAAGTATTTAATATAGGGCAATTTGGATCTGCATTATTTCGAATCTCGTGCTTAATCTAACGGCTCTACAGTTTCCACCGCTGCAAATAATTTTTTATGCATCACGTTTGCATAGATTTTTTTCCAAGTTCCCATCTTGGTATAAATTTAAATTGGGAAAAATTGTATTAAAATATTTTGATGAATTTTTTTAATTAAATTATTAAATTTATTTTAAGATGGATATATAAAAAAATTAATAATTCTGAGATTTATAGTAATTTTATTTAGACATTTAACCTATTTTTTTTTTCAATTCTATTAATGATATAAGATAAAATGAAATATAAGATGATATAATTTTTTCTATGAAAAAAAGAATGAATTTGATTGACAATTTAAAATAAAAAATATTTTTTTATAAATTTTTATATTTATTCATATATCATCTAACTAATTATAATTATTTCAAGTATATCACCAATTTGAATAAATATTTCTTTACTTATTTTATATGCTAATCTCTAATTATTATGGTAAGTAAGTAAAAAAAATGAATAGAATAGAATGTTTTATAAATAATTATAAGGAATTATATAATATATTCATAAATATAAAATTTTGTTGTGGTTCATTAGTAAAAATTTCTTAGATTTTAATAATTTCCTTAAAATAAAACTTTACCACTAAAATTTTATTTATGGCAACTTTCTTATTATTTTTTAAAGCAGTTTTTTAGTATACATAATTTTTAATTATATTAAAAAATTGTTTTAGTAAATAGTGAGAAAATTGTCTTAAATAAAATCTAAATTAAAATTTAATTATAATTTTATGTGTAGCATTTTTCATAATTGGTTGCTAATATTCAGTTTTTTTTTTTTTTTAATGCTAATATTCAGTTGTTAGGTAAGAAATTGCACACATTTTTTTTTCTCTCTTGATGGGAGCTACCAACTCCATTAAACTGATGAAATGCCCTTCATGCAGGTGATGAAATTGCCAAACCGGGGAAAAATTAAAACCTAATATACTTATTTATTATATAAATATTGTGGACATGTTTGTGGTTAGGTGTAGGCTATGCAGAATGACAATTATATTTTATCGGGGATGTTTTTGAATATTGTATCTAATATTTAACAATTGAGCAATTATAAATCTATCTAATCGAATTATAAGGATGTTGCACAACTTTGAAAGAGGGATGATGAATAGAGTTTTTTAATTATTAGCCAATTCATCTAAATTTGTGAAAATGTGATAATTGTGAACATGACAAAGCAAAGTGCAACAAATAAATAAATAATTGCAAATATGTCTCACTTCATATATAATCATTTGATGCAGGGTAGAATGGTAAAGTAGGATTATGAAATGCATAATTTTATGTATAAAATAAAATAAAATAAAAAGAAATTTTCTCTTAGTAATTGGGTAATTATATTTATTGAAGATGGACAAAATAGTTAAAATATTTATTTTTCTATGAAAAAAATTACATGATGGACAATTGCCCACCTTGAGCTTTCCTGATTCCACCCTTGGTTTGATGAATGATGAATCCTCTTACGTAAAAAAAATAAACCCTAAATTAAATGATAGTTTTATAAGGTTGCAGGCTTTATTCCCAAGTCAAAGATGATTACCGCCAAACCATATGGAGGCTTTTTTGCCGGCTATCTCTCGGAGAAATTATTATGTGCGGAGTCCGGACGTATCTCTACGTCTAGACTCCGCACATAATAATATCTCCTCTCGATGAGCATCCCATCATACAAGAGGTATTATTTTGTTCGTCATTTGAACGTGTCAGTAGGCAAAGCCGGACGCACCATGTGACCGGACGCACTGAGCCCCTGTGACATGGCGCGTCTTAATTCACTTTCAGATGCATCTGGATGCCGCACAGAATAATTTTTCCGCATACAAACATTATATGTATATAAATTTATTTAAGTTACTTACAATATTTCAGAAACATTTCTTCTATTAGTTCACTATATTTTGATTGATTTTTTTTTTCAATAAAAAAATAAAAAGAAGAAGTCCAATCTGGTGAGATTAAAACCCGCCTACATACCATTTGGAGGCGAAACGAGCATACTGAGATAGCCTTGTCTTTTCTCCTGTTATTGCTGTACATATATAACTGGCTGGAAGACTGACTCAAAATGCAAGCTAAGGGCATCTCCAACCGACCTTCAAACGCTTGAATGGAGCTCCCGGCCAGCTCCAGCCGAACTGCGAAATTTCCTCTATATGGCTGCGGGTGAACAGTGGGACGCCAATATTGGCGTTGCACTGTTCATCTCCGCCATTTTTACCACTCTACCGAACTTGTCGCGGGAAAAAAAGAGGCGACGGTTAACTGCAAAAGGGTGAAAAACGCGTTCCATTGGAGATGAAATCACGGTTTTTTGTAGTTTACGGCATTTTGGAGTGAAAAATGAGATTTCGGTTGGAGATGATCTAACTTCTCTTATTTTCCAAACGATCCAAATCTGTTAATGGCTTCGTTTCTTTCATTTCCTGCTCAGTTCGCCGGCCAAGATTTTCTCTGGTTTTTTTTTTTTTTTTTTTTTTTTGTGTCATTTTTAGCACTGATTCGGTACAGTTTACAGTTATTTTATTAAGGATTTATATCGTATAATTAGTCTTATTTTGATATTATTATAATATATAATACTTCTTGGCTGTTTGGGTCCATACGCAAACAAACAATATCTATTAGATGGTAGAAAAGGAAAGCTCTTTTATTGTTTTTTAATAAATTTTTAATACAAAAAATTTAAATTTAAGACATTTTTAAATTAGAAAATTATTTAAGAAAGTTGTCCCAAATAAAGTTTGATATTATTATAATATATAATACTTCTTGGCTGTTTGGGTCCATACGCAAACAAACAATATCTATTAGATGGTAGAAAAGGAAAGCTCTTTTATTGTTTTTTAATAAATTTTTAATACAAAAAATTTAAATTTAAGACATTTTTAAATTAGAAAATTATTTAAGAAAGTAGTCCCAAATAAAGCATTAATATAATTCTTGAGCTTTTTTTTTAATAACGTTCATTTATTTATTATTATTATATATATATATATATATTTATTTATTTATTTATTTATGAATTATAAATATTATAAATAATGGGTTGGGCCGCTCAAATTAAAATAAATTGGCTCACCCTCTATCTCTCCCCTAAACCAAATTATCAAATTATGATATTGTTTAATATCTGGGAAATAGCTGTAATGATGTTGTAAATTCTGTTTGTTCTAATTTCTCTCTTATGTGAGCTGTTAAAAATCCAAAATTAAGTTCAACATCCAATGAAACAGCTCCAACTGTAAATATAAAAAATTTATTTGCTTTTTTTAATTGGATCTCTATGCACTAATTTTGTGAGTTAAATTGAATAATAATAATAATAATAAAAGTATTTATTTATTATGAACATAATTACTAATTTTTTAACCATTTTACATTGATTTTCTTTCTCATTTTTTAGATACAAAGAATTCTTTTAAGATAAATATGAGATAATTGATTTTCTTTCTCATTTTTTAGATACAAAGAATTCTTTTAAGATAAATATGAGATAATTGATTTTCTTTCTCATTTTTTAGATACAAAGAATTCTTTTAAGATAAATATGAGATAATTTAGACTTTAGAGAGAATGAAAGAGATCCTATGGAGAATCATGGAGAGAGTATGCGAGAAATTTAAGCTTTGATTGGGATAACTTTTTTATGACTTCGTAAAGCTACTTTTTAATTTAAAGTTCTATTGAAAGTAGAGAAAAAGCAGGTGTATAAAGTTGTCCAAACCAAGCCTTAGTATTGAGATAATTGTGCTATAAAGAACAATTTCATAATGATTTTAACACAAGATTAGTTATCCTAATTATAAGTGAGAATCAAAGTTAATAATAAAAAAATGATCATATATTATGATGATATATGCTTCATATGCCTAGTTTTGTAGATGGTGAGTTTGGCTTGTTGTTAGCTAGTAGTCCAAAACTTTTGGAAAGTTTTTGATTGAAGGGAATGCGCCCTTGATGAGCATTTCTAGCAAGTATTTAACGTGAGTTGTCGAGTTTCTTGAGCAAGTGGATTTGACGAACATGAGACTTCATGAGCCCTTGAGCGAGTTCAATAGATTGATGTTGAAGTCTGAATAAGGGTTGATTCATAGGCAACTTCAATGAACTCATCTTTGGGTGACTTGAGGTATTAATCAAGTTCAATGTTAGCATGTTTTGAGTTATACATTGTTCAAGATATTTCATAATGAACAAACTATTGAACCCAATTCAAGTTCCCTAAGTGACTTGGTTGAACTTGCATAAATGAATAATGGTGTGCATTGGTTCACTGAGTGTCTTCTCTTTTTAAATATGCATGGAAGGATATGAGAAATAAAGTTTCAACAAACTTGATTTGGCTAGGGTTATATGGATTTTATATAGATTATGGATTTTATATAGATTATAGACTTTACAAAGATCTTGAACCGTGAAAATTTGGTTAGCACATCAAAATTGTAGTGTATATAATTATGAAAATAGTTCTATGGACTTTATGTAGAGTAAGGCTCGAGTGATTAAGCTCACTTGTAAGCCAATTTAAGATATAAAATGACTTTATAAATCAACAAATTGCAAATGTACTCATTAGAAGTCTTAAAAATGTATTAAGATTATAAGACTATCAAATTAGCGAATTGATTGACTTCTATTTCAATGTTTTCAATAATAATTCCTACGTTAAAATTAAACAAATCCTTGCAAATACTTTTAAATGCCTTACTGATGTCAGAATTAAGCGACTTGGGCTCATTGGATTTGTCTCGTCGAGCCGCTTGATTATTCAACAAGCATGTCATATTTGGTTATCCACTTAATGCTTTGAAACCTTCGAATATGTTTTAGTCCATGGATTTATGCCCATATGGATTCGGTTTGGACCAATTTTTGTGTCGTTGGATTCATCTCATTGAGATATTCTGCTTGATTATGAGTTGGATAAAATTGGAATTCATAAGATACTG